TAATGGACTCATCAGAAGCTCGAAGAAGTGGACATGATCCGTTTAACACCTTTCAGGTGTTTTTGGTTTTCTTCAGGTATGTTTTCACACGTTTCAGGTGTTCTCCTTCCCTTTTTCAGGTGCTTGTAATCCGTTTCTTCACCTGCCTTCCCTCCCACCGCCTCCTGGCCCCCGCCCGCCGACCCCATCTGAGGCACCCGGACTCGTCCTTTCCTTCGATGGTCACCTGGGGCGGTCGCGCCCGGCGGTCCGCGCCCAGCGGTCCGTCTGCGCCGGGCGAAGCGGCCTTCCGGGTGGTCCGTCTCGGTCTCCCTGGTTGAGCTGCACACCCTTTTGACATGGAGGGGGGTCTCTCTCCAAGAGTGGGCGGTGTAGAAGTGGGTAGCACCAACAAAGCAAACAAAAAAGACTTGTTCACCCATGACTGCGAAGTAGCTGCTGTTCGTGAATGACTGGGACAGTCGTTGGATGAAGCACGAGGTGTCTTTACTGGCTGGAATGGAGCCATGCAGTGGGTCTCATCACCAACCTCGCCTTTCGCCTTCCGCGCCAACAGTGGCCAACTCCAGTCGAGGTCTTTTCTCTCCCATGCTTCCATCCAAAAGCCATTCTAACCTCTTCGTTTTGGTCCTTTCTTCGATCAATTCTCCAAAAGCAATCCCCTTCCATCATCCCATCATCCATAAACCCTCCCCTTCCGAGCCATGAATGAAGCCCTCCCCACCCATCATCCCATCACCTTCCCCATCATCCCAGTGGCAACAGCCCACCAGGTAGAGGGTGAAGCCGATGACTTTCGGTACTGCCAGGGTCCGTCGTTCCGGTCTTTCCGGTTGGCGTCTTGCGAGGCTCGTCCAGCGGACATGAGTGCTAGAGAGGACTCCCCCAGCCACTGGAGGTCTCTTGTTTCCCTGATTCCATGGGTCTGGAAACACAAAAAGGAAGGACTTTGCTTGAGGCACCTCCTTTCCATTCGACAGGGCCTTCATGGATTCCAACATATACCCTGATGGTGCACCTTCATTTGCATATCAGCTGCAACTATCAGCGTGCATCATGTTTGTCAAAGAACGGCTCGCTTCTCTCAAAAATGGCAATGAAGAACCCATCCTCAGTCTTTCTGAATTCACAAACCCTACTCCTGACATTGCCTCACACCACCAACCAGCCCACCGAAGCTCTGCCAGTGTTCCAGTCAACCCCCCGGGGCCCCCCAAAAGATGCACTTCGAATCCGGCCAGCGACCCGCGTTTCGACAGCGAACCAAAAATCGGCCAGCGGTGCTTCGAAACGTGGTCTTCAGAAAGGCGCCCATAATGACGGAGCCAAAATGATATCCTGAAGCCGCACGGCCGCGGTTCCGTCCGGGCTCCGTCCGAGACTGTGACGGGTGGCTGGTCAGCACCGGTTGGGTCACGTTGCCGCAAAAGGGATGCTGGCGTGGTTGGAATCCATCCCATGAACCAACATGCTGTCTGGAACTTTCCGTTTGGAACAGGTGCTTAAGCTTGTCACATTGGTCCCATGATCTGTTTGTCAAATGCTGGAAGGCCAATTAAGCACCTCCTGCCTGGCACATACCTGGATCTGGCTACAACAAAGAAGGGACTCACTCTCAAGTATTACCTTGAGTTCTCCTGCATAGGCACCTCAAAGCGAAAGCTGGGTGGACCAAAAAGGCTTTAGCATTCATGGTTGGTCCTTTTTGACCTGGAGCGCGGTCATGAAAGCAACTCCTTCCAACAAAAAAATGCAGCGTACATAAGCAAATACCCTCCAAGCTAAGGGGAGCCCGCACGTCTCAGCCAGTTCGGAACGATTCACCCACCGAAAAGCCTCTTGAACCATTCATCTGGGCGACATTCGAATTCGCATGCGAATCGGGAATTCCAACACCAACAAACCACGGCCCTTTTCTGAAAGCCTCCTTTGTTTGGGGGTCCAACGAGTGGACTTTGGGGACGGCCGTGACCAATGCACCTTGCCTTCCTCTTCCCAGTGCTGCAGTCACCATGTTCGGTACCGGAACCTCTATACACACAAAAAGCTATATAACTATACTTGCCAGAGAGCCACGGAAGCCTCTTGAGAATGACAAGATCCACCTACGGAAGGCGCGTCAGTCAACCACGATGTGTACTTCCCACATCTTCCTAGTCAGTTCCTACCTCACCATGTCTCCAAGGCACGCAACATATTGCCGGTTCCTTCAAAGACCAGGCAAGCATGCCTCAGTGCGCAGGACTGTTTCACATAGAGCCAGGAAAAACCATTCCAAGCACGAATCAATGCCGGCCGGGTCTTTCAGTGACTAGTCTTCACTGGACCTATCAACTGCAAACCGACCTAGAAACTGCAGTGGTAGCATGCTACCCAAATTTGTCACCACTGCTGGCGTCGTTTAATTCCATTGGATTTCCTTGTGGACTGGAAACGGAGGGATGTCCTTTGATTTCCTATGCCCCCATCTAAATAGAAGCAAAGGCCTTTTCATCTTCCTGTGTTGCCTTCCCAAACAGAACCACACCAATTCCTGAAGCAGTCCCCCTAGAAACGGTTTGGGAGAGCTCTCTCAGAGCTCTCTTGTCTTTGACTGCCATTCCCATTCCCCCAAAACACGGAGCATCCGAGCGACGGAACATCTACCTTGACATCATCCACATATGGGGTGAAGTACCACCTGCAAGTTTGGGCCGCAAGACACATGCAGAAGGTGCTAGGATGAATGCCGAAACCGCGCTTTTGTTAGCAAAACCAGGCTTCATCTGGACGTGTGAAAAACACATCGGTGGTGCTCCAGAAAACCTGATGAGTGCCCAGCTTGGCGTTCCAATCCAGCAGGATTCATTATGTGCGTGTGCGCTGTGTCTTTGTTGGCGCCTCTGGCTCACGTAGGCCAAGACATACTGCGTGCCGTTGTGGGTGATTTCCACCAACTCAGCCGACGCTTCGAGCGCTCGAACAGCGGTTCGGCGGTGTTGCCCGGTGCTCTGGTGCGTGCCCGTCTGAGCATCGACTTTGGATGAACGCGAGCTCAAGACGCGAGAAAGGGTGGTGTCTCTAGTTGACATGCCAGTTGTATGAAGTGCAAACCTTTAGACCAGTCACATGATGAGTGGCAGGAATTTCATGGATACTCCAGAATGCACCTTGCTTATAGAAGCAAAGAAGTTCTGCATTATATCTTAGAACTGAGGTGCCCTTTCCGACCAACGCATGTCACAACTTGGGATGTCCATCTCTCAACGGCGTTCCGCTCCTTTGGACCCGCCCAAAACACCACGAGCTCTGATGCGCTCTAAGGACCGCGACCAGGGGAATCCCAGAATCTGCAGCTCCTTTGTGGGTGAAGTTTCGGTTTTCCCCTCTCCCAACGACAAGCAGCTGTTCAGCCGGAAATGAGAGCAGTCTTGTATATACAGTGGAAATAAAGCGAACAACACCATGAGTTGGAGCCATCTGCTGAACCCTACTGAGAACACCAAATGGCTTGTATACTGTATCATGTATCATCTAAATGCCCCTACCATCCCCTACCTTCTCCTTATTAAACTGGGCCCAGAAGGCTCTTGCCTGCCCGTGGTGAGGGGCCCGGATCGTGCCCATCCCATCAAATGCCATGTGACCCAAAAGGTCAAGAAGACCATGTATGCCAGAATGGCCCACTGCTCCTTGCTGCGCTGGGGACAGGGGGGGGTTCTATGCCCAAGGTCAAGTGAGTGCACCTTAAAGTCCTTGAAAGAATCATGGATGTGGATAGCAGAACTCCTCGGATGACCCCCTTTCCTCTACAAAACCAAGTGTGGCCAGCGAGATCCAGGAGTGCTTCCAGTGGTTCCCAAATCCGTGGAAAAAGACGGTGTTTCATCCAGATCCCGGTTTGGGGGGAATCATATATACAATGCAAGTGACCACCGAACTTTCTAAGCGAGAATTCCCGCTCCAGATGCTCAGAACGTGGGGTGGGCCTTCGGCCATGGACCCATGGATTCCCAAGGTCACCCGCTCTAGCCCATCTTTCTCTTGGCACCTTCATGTCGGTTCAGTCCATCCCTCGCACGAAGAACAAGAAAAAGGTCTGACCACGATCGCCAAACAAGCCAGGCCGACTCCATTGAGGCTCAAGTTCCGATGCACCTCAGCCGCTCACCAAGGCGGAGGGCGGAGGAACTGCCCCACCTCTTCCATCCTTCAGACGTTTTTTTGTCTGACGTTTTTCTACCTGGACCCTCCAAGAGGTGTTTCCTGGTGACAACAAATGCCCAGCAACCACCTGTTAGGGTCTTCAGACAGCCTGTTTTATCGAACGTGCCTGCTGGCGGTTTCTCCCGGTTCTCGCGGCGACGGAACATGCCAACCATAAAGTGGCTGATCAATGATACCACCGCTGCATACGGTCGCTTCTCTCACCAGGCTCAAGCCGCGACTGTTTTTTCGAGCCGCTTGAAAACGCCACGCCACAGATTCCTCGGTTCCTCTCGAGCAGCTCAGCTCTCGCAGCCACTCAGTGGCTGCGGTGTGTCGCTCGACCATCGCCCGTTGAGGTGATGAACGACACGTGTCCCGCGCCGCCGACCATCGACAGAGTGAAGCGACGCGGAGTCGAAAATGGCGACGTCGCAGGTGTGCCACTCAACTGACTGCGACCGTTGAAGGAATGAGGGAAGTTTGGTCCTCAACATCCATTCCTTTGGATCCAAAAATTCCCCAAACGAGTCGCAGTCAATCAGTCAAACAAGATTAGACTATATGTGCACATGTTTGAGGAGGATCATCCAGGATCTCTACAAAGTTGGATCCCTGAAGAAGTGCGCGCTTGCTGCAGCGCAGGAGCAACTGCGCTCACTGGGACATTCATCACACACTGGCCATGAAGACTTGAACCTTTTTGAGCCTCCTGCTCTACAGAGCCAACACCCGCGTTGCCCTTTCCGGGGTGAACCTGCTGAAACACCTTCAGACCAAACTGAACCGGGCAACATCTTCATGGCCTGCCAACGCTACCGGACGACACTTGCCACCAGCTCCAGCAGGGTGCCGCCTGGATCCGCTTCTTCGCGCGCACCGCGAAGGGCGCAGTGGAGGGCCGCAGCAAAGGCGTCGGTGAAGGTGGCTAAGGAGGTGAGGTTCACCGAGCTGGCCTGGGGGGCGAATGAGCTGGAGCGACCTGGGAGTGATCTGGATTCAGAAATCCATAGAAATCCAAGAGCAGGTAGATCTAGAAATGAACGGATCGAATCTTTGGACTGAATCGGTCAACATTTGGTGCAAACGGTGATTTTCGCTAAGAGGTCTGGTCAAGATCTGCTTGATAAACACATGAAAATGGCTCGGCTTCTTGAGTTACCAACCCAGTCCTTCAGCACTCTTTTTAATGCTACCAGCCTCCTCACAACATGTTATATATATAATTCTTGATCGTATATTGCACCAACGTGCCGGCATGATATAATACACAGTATAATACACAACTTGGTGGATTTTGCTTGTCAGCGACATTGTGCACACACATCATCTTTCATGTCTTGGCAGCTTTCTTGTGAGGTCCTTGTTGTCCTCAAGCGATCTTCCTCTCCAGTTTGTCCCCGAGCGAGCTGCTTTGGATCTTCGAATTGGTCCTCTTTGACCCAGAAAGTCTGGTGCTCACCAAGTCACATCCGCATCGCTCGGAAGATGAAAACGCCCACGAAGCCCTCCGCTCACCAGGTTCAACGCCGGCATCCCCGCGTGCAGCGCAGGAAGGATGGCGCCCTGGGCCGTCCAACGGCTCAAAGTACCTGTATAGGAGGCGGTGATGGCCGGAGACACCCCTGGCGTAGCAGCTCCTTTTGCTACGCTATATGGGCACGGAGCAATTCAACACAATGGAAGATCCCCTGGCCCAATAGGTGTTGCTCCATGTCCCTGCTTCCAGGGGTCGAACTGGGAGGTCTGTTGTTTCTTTACAGTAATGCACACCTTCGTTGCGTCTAGTCTGGCAGTTGGACGCCAAGTTAGGTGTGGTAACAGTGTCTGCTCGGGAGGATGCGAGGTGCGGGTGCCGGCTCGGGAGGATGCGAGGTGCGGGTGCCGGCTCCGGCAGTGCTAGCCCGGCTCGGTGGGATGCTTCAGGGCTTCAGGGATCTCCGACATAAGCGAAGAAACTGGGACACGCCCTCTCCGCACACATGGAAGTGGAACAACGAATGCCGGATACCTCAACACAAATGGTGACACTTGCACTTGGTCGACGTGCCTCCCTCACCTCCCTGTTTGTTGGAGGGGGGGCCCTGCAAGTCCAACAGAAACTTCGCACTTTCTTTGCCTGGCTCTGCTTGAACCAGGTCATTCAGCCGCTGGTCCTTGCTTAGTTCGCGAAGGACCTGCCCAAGCGGTGCCAAAAAGCATATGGATGATATGATGCCTCTACTCTATACCGTCTGTTCATGGTTGAAATGAGGGTTGCTCACCCAAAGCATTCGATCATCTGTGGATCTTCTTGCATCTCATCTGACCCAGCCAGTTGTCATGGTCAATCACCTGCAGCCCTTTTGGCAGCCCGTTTTTGTTCGAGTGTTGTGGCTACCTGGTGCTTCATACATTAAGTGTCTCAATTATTGTTACAGCACCCTCCAATAGGCTGTTAGTTGAGGGTTGTTGGACCCTAACAGGTCTCAATTGGTGACCTGTCGGAGGGTCCTAGTATATGTTTGCCAATTTTTGCTATGTTGCATCATGGGCATGCAAGTCGTTCGCACTGGCTGCCAGGTAAAGGATGCGGAAAACATGGGGACGTTATAAGGGCAAGTCCACTCGGCAGAAGCTTGCTTCGTCGATAAATCTTAGCTCCCTTAGTGGAAGAAGAAGAAGAAGAAGAAAGAGAAGAAAAAGAAGAAGAAGGAGAAGAAGAAGAAACCTTATGCCCACAAAATGTACACCAGCTGCGCGGTTTGAGAATAGGGATGCCGTCTGCCTAAAGCAAACACGTGCAGCAAGAAACAACTTTTAAACCACGGCAACTTCTCCCAAGGAGAGCAGTCGAAGTGAATTCATTGTGCCCAAATTCGCTCGTTTGGTTCCGTCTCTCCCTCTTCGCACCCCAAGAGGATCCCAGACCAAGAAGTACACCCGTTCAAAACAACCGTTCAAACCCAAAAAAAGGATCGCAAAAGGATCGCTCAACACCCCCGAAAGGCAGGCGTCCAACAGGCACTCTGCACGTCCATCCACCTTCGACTCCCAAAAACGTCCCACCACCTCGGCCCCCGGCGCCTCGGTGACGAGCTGCGCGCCAGCTGCGCGCTTCGGTCGTGTGGAGCTCACGCGGATCGACGTGGTGCCGCTCCCGGCGCCGGCGAAGTTGAGGCCGTCGAAGTGGGCGTAGTTGGCGAGGCCTCCGGGGCGGGGGCCAACCTGGAAGGAAGCAGACTGTAAAGCGGTCTAGAAGAAAACGGTGGCACCTATAGGACCTAGTGACACCGGGTTAAAGACCTGTCTTGGAGCACTGATCCTTCAACATTTGGTCTTCTCCTGTTAGAAAACGAGGTCCCAGGTGATTCCAGGAAAAGCTTGGCCTAGTCTGGCAGTTGCCTCCCAAATGTGTTCACCCTGCACAGCACAATTCGGCCAAGTGCCTGCACCGATGCTGATGAAGGGTATCTCACTCAAAGGGATATGCAGATCTGCTGCGAGCTCTTGCAAGTACGGAATCACCATCCTTGAGCTCTTGCACCACGAGATCAACTAGAAAAAGGATTGCAAGGCCAACACAAAATGCTAGTCCTTGTCTAAAAATCTGTCAAAGGGAAAATGGATGAACATGGCTCGTGAAAAGCGTCAAACACCCAAGGCCAAGATGAGTGATTTCCTTTGATCCCTGTTCCACTGAAGGGTAGAAATCCTCGCACCAGCTGATATGGGAGAAGTTCCATTGCTCACCGTGGGAGCTTTCGTCAACAAACGCCGGTCAGGAGACGACTGTCCCGCCCCAAGTGCATGACTGCTGTAGCTTTGCATGATGGTGCATAATATATATACTTGATCCACCTGGCCATTTCCCCACTTCCATCAACAGTTAGTGCTTATACCCGCTCAACCCCCCCATGCCAACCCTCTTCCTCTCACCGGTACCCCTGCTAGGCTGGCACCGAGCATCCTTTCGATGCCGGAGTCCGACTGCTCGTGCCCAGAGGTGAAGCCAAAGATGGGCGTCCAGCAAGGGCACCTGGAGGACCTCCAAAGAGGGGCTGTGGAAGATCTAGAGCGTCAACCCGGTGGAGGGGATGGACCATCTGACCATCCGACCGGTCTATGAGGGGCTTGGTGGGGATATTCGGGGCTTCTTTGTGGGGGGGAGGGGGTGTTCTAAGACCGATTAGACCTCAACCGGTGGTAACAGCTATAAGGTGGCCCACTCTATAGCAAGTATAAGGTGCCCCAACAAAATCTCCAGTGGGGGGGGGGTTGATTCTTTGTTGGCGCATCTTGATGAGCCCAAGCATGCATCATCCCTTTGAGTGCTGAAATGACATAATCAATGATGTGGAAGAGGAAGTTCTTCAAGTAGTTGATGATGGAATCAACATCGATCCAACCTGGGTGCGACCATCTACCGAGGAGGAGGCTGCCCCACTGAAGCTCAACAAGAAACACCTGAAGAAGGACTATTATTGGGGTCCCTATCAATTTTTGGTGGCATAATCCACGTATAATCCCCGATATTTTCCACCTAACTTTTAGCCAGATTTTTCCGATGACCCTTGCTCTTCTAAAAATCCCTGAGTCCCAAGACCGGCTGAGTCAGGCTCCCCCCATCCCTTTAAAAGGCCCTCCGCTTGGTGCCGGAGATGGGCGATGAGACGGGACTGACTGGCAGACAACCTGGGAGATGCGTCACCAAGGCACGCATGGAACAACAGAGGTTAAGATGCATTTTTTGAAGAGACGCCTCTCTAGACTCTGCCCATGGTCCATCTGTTGGTTTCTGGTCTTTCTCCCTGCCCACAATTCATAGAGCCGGAGAGAGCCGGACCGACCATGACAGGACAAGGACAACTTGGCCAGCTTAAACTGGCTCCAGAAGCTTCTCAAGTGAGGCTTTCACCCAATTCTTCACGGTGTTGATGGGTGTTGCTGTCTCGCAACCTGCAAGTCATCCTGGAATGTACAATCTTGACCAATCTTAGAATCCAAATAGGATTATCAAGTGCATCTGATAAGGGTAAGGTTTATGACATCTGGAATCTGGATCAGGTTCATGAATCCAGATTCTACAGCACATTCATCTGACGAAGTTGATCCAGTCAGGCGCCTCTCACGTGGCGCGATCCTCTCGTTCCAGTGCTGTGCCAGCTGCAGCAAGAGGGCGATGCCGGCGCCGCGCTCGCCGGCGGCGCGGAAGAAGCCGTTGATTGGGGTGCCCAGGTAGATGGGCCTGGAGGGGTCCCGGGTAGAGGATGGTGGATCCGCATTATATATATATAATAGATATATATATATGTATGTATGTATATATATATATATATTTGGGGGGAGAATCAAGCTCTCTAATAATATGGCATACATGGAGCGTCTGGGTAATACGTTTGAAGAGGTTTTTGACGGTGCACTGTTTGAAAGGTGCTTCGCCTTCGACCAGAATCCTGAAAAATGAGGTGAATCGAGAGAGATGCACGTGGTGCGACACAGGGTGACACCATGTGACACCTCAGATTCATTCCCCATGAGTTGAGCAATCTGACTTCTCATCAATCAAGGCCAGGGGGTTCGGTTTCGCCCAGTGATGTGCAAAGAAAGTGCGGATGGGAATGAACTTTAATTTCTCACAACCCATGCAGGGAAGAACGCAGTAGCGGAAAACATCTGGAAGTAAACAACACAATCATCATCAATCATCTCTATCATTAACTGCCTTCCATCTCTTCACCCATTTATGTCACCCGCTTCCCAGCTCTTCCACTCCAGCCCACCAGCCAACTCCAGCTCCGCTGCCACCAGGCGGCTGCGACGGGCCCGGTCCGCAGCCTTTCGGCGGCGCGGCGATGGCCAGGACGTTCCGCGTCGGAGCGGGCGCCGCCCAGCGGCCCCGCAGGCGCAGGGAGACGTTGCCACCCGTGAGGAGCAGGGAGGACAAGTAGCTCACCTGATGGAGCCAAGATCCCTGGTAAGGCCCAAACTGGCAAAGATCTAAGTAAAGAGCGTTTCTTTTTTGATGAAAAACTGAATCCTGGTCCGTTTCAATGAACTCAAGATCCAGTTTCAATATGTTTCAATTTGGAAAGGATCTGGTTAGGATTGGATTGGATTCATGATTGAAGTTCATGAACCTTAAGATGAACTCCTTATCCTCTCCGACGCATCCTCCGGACTCTCGCTCCCCACCCACCCGAAGGAAGGGCCGTCTCGGTCCGACCCAGTCACTGTGACCACCGGAACGAGCGCAGGAGTTGCAGTCCTCTGATTCCAATCGAATGGACGAGGCTCAGTGACTCTTTCCTCAGTTCGATGTGGGCGTGTGGCCAGGGCGTGTGCCATGGTGTGCATGTGTTTAATCGGGACGACATCCCGGCCCGATGGGTTTTGGGATGGTTTGGATCTGTTTTCGTTCTTCCACGGGGGTTCAACTGGGAGGTCTCCCTGTGGCAAATGAAGTGACTCGAGTGAAGGAACGATCTTCCGAGACCCTGACTGCAAAAATGTAAGAACTCAAGGTTCTGAGACCTTTGCCAAGCCAACCAAAAAATGACTTGCCCAACACATACCCTTATAAACGGAACATCCAGCAACAGCAATGTCAGCGGACTTGCTGAAAAGGCCTCAACAAAGCACCGAGACTGCCAGTAAAGGGCAAAATGAGAACTTCCTCTGCAAAAGGTGCTGTGCACCAGTTTCTAGCTGCCAAAACTCCTATGACAGGTGTTTATCACGGGTCTGGCAGGACACTTATCAAATCCAAAGAATAGACTTGTTTATACATAATACTATAGTGTTCCGTTTCAATATTCTGAACGTTCAACGCATGTTTGATACATGACCTTCTCCGGTCTTTCGTCTCAGTCGATCTGCTCCCCTGCCCGGGGCCTCCCGGGGCCTGCCCGGCCTCTCCCATCATCCCGACCTGCGCCCAGGCGGCCGATTGTCCCGCCGGCGCGTTGACCACGATGACTGCGGCGTAGGGCAGCGTCCCATCCGGCCGCAAGTAGGGCCGGTAGACGTCCGCGGCGGAGAAGATGTAAACGTCGGGGTCGTGCAGCAGCAGGATTTGGCTCAAAGGCACCTCCTGAGGAAAGTCGTTTGCTTCGCGAGTCGCGCGTGTAGAGACTTGACATTTGTTTCGGCCCAAGTTCCAGTTGTTTCGAGGCCAAACCTGAGAAAACAAGGCACCTGCCAGTAGCCACCACTTGCTCTACCACCTTTCAGATCCTCGACCGTTTAATCATATAAAGACCCAAGAGCTGCAAGCCAGTGACAGCTGGGTTGAGGAACATTCACTCAACCGAGGTGCTCTTTCTATAACAGGTCAAGCCCAACAGGCAACAGGTAGGACCTATAGGGTGTGGGCTTCTCAAGTTCTGTGTGCATTTGTTCATCGATAAACACCACCAGATCACCAACTGTGCCAGCAATATATACAGTATATAATAATGCAGTATATATATATATATACAGTATGTACACATACGGTGCGGTATATGTTTGTTGCTTTCTATTCCCCCAAGAAGGCCAGACGACATCATCCCCATGTCACCAGTCTCCTGCAATGCCACCGCTGCTCGTGGTGGCTGGTGCACCACATAGCATGGGATCGCTTGTCCAGAAGGCGCCACCAAGTCGCAGCCATAACCGGAGGAAGGCGACCTCGTTCGCGACGCCCAAGTAGTTTGCCGTTTGCTTGGATCTATGAAGCTACTAGATCCAAAAGGAGGGGCAGAATGGAACCCTCGAGGTTGAGCCCAGGTTGATCCAAGTGATCCTGGCGTGGCGAAGCAGAAGACTTGGTGTTGAGAGGCTGCCATGCACAACATTGGGAACTTCAGCTCTTGCAAAGCTGCATATGCAGCACATATCGATCAGTTCACCCAGGCTTTGTCTACATCACAATGGTCACAATGCACCGGGGCTATGGTGACGGATGGGACAAGTGAACCCCCCCAATGGATCATGTATTGGAAAACAGTCAATTGCCCTTTTGAAGAACCCGCTCTTCAACCAAAACACTCAAACAACAAAACACCCTGATAAAACAAATTCGCACACCCAAAACGGAAACATAAAGAAAAAAGAATCGCGACGGCAGCCCCTAGCCGAAACGAGGATCCCATCATCCTCCGGAATCCACAAAGGCGGCCCTGGCAAGGTGTACTCCTGAAACTTCACCTCCAACCCCGACGCAGCCGCGAGTTCTTGCCGGAGCCATTCGCTGGTGGCGGTGTCGGCGGCGGTGCCGCTCAGGTGTGTGGAAGAGATCTGGGCGTAGTCACCTCAAATTGTCAAAGGCACATCCTGCAGTGATCAGCAGATAGGGATCCAGTCGTGCCTTCTCAGATCTTCTCAGGTGATTGAAGGCAGGTCCCCGGAGGGTCCAAGTACCTTCTGAGAAGGAAAACACACATTCAGAAACCGTGTGCCAAAAAAACATTGGAGCGCCCCATCCAAATCCCGGTCTGGCCACTTTCGATCTGTCCCACCGTCCCACCTCTTCAATTTCCCCTTCTGCCAGCCACAGGCAGTTGCCCCAGCGACAGGATCAAGACAGTTGCTCAACTCCCTGGAATGATCATGGAAATGGGATGGCCACCCTATACGGATGAGAAATGAACTCTGAATACCAAAGCCATTAGTGCCACCATGTGCCACCTCAACATGACACCATGGAGCCCAGTGAACCATCCATTTTTATCAATTTTTTCACTTCTCCTTCTTCAGCACTCCAGTCGAGCACCCCGTCGAGCCCAGTGGCTGATCAGGCGCTCTAAGGACTCTTCCGTGACCCACCGGTCACGATCGACCCAGCGACCCCTTCGGTGACGCAGCAGCAGCAGGGCCACGCCCAGGACGACGGCCCACGTCCAAGCGCACCGCAGCATGGGGCGCTGTCGTCGCGCCACCGGGGGGGCAGCATGTGGCTGCCAGCATGTGGCTTGAGTGGTTGCCAGCTGAAAGAGATGAAAAAGGATTGAAGTATATATCGTTTGAATCAACAACAAGAAGAAGCAACCAACAGCCAACGAACGCAAGCAACAATCAAAGGTCAACCTACAAATCCCAAATTAGGTAATTACCCAACCAACGATCAACCAACTCACCCTTTGTTCATGCCTGTGTAGGGTTAAGGCGGTTAAGGCCCTGGAAGGTGCTGGTGTCAGCACTTCCTCTGCAACGATAGATTCCGACAAATTGATTCATTCATAGTCCTACCTCTTCTTAGAGGCCTTTAGTCATCACCCTCCTGCAACTCAACTGAAAAAAACACCAACGAGACTCATCTTCCCCTCAACACCAAAATAACAACTCAAATCATACACGAAAACTTGGACCCTGAGAATGGGACCTGGGAACACTGTTTTTCCTCTACCAACCAGTGGTTTTCAGGTTTCCATGGTGCGTTTTCCACGGATGGGTCTTGAGGATGCAAGGCATCGTGACCACCATCCCAGGCAAACTGCAGTGGGTGCCCGGGCTTCACTGTCGCTCATCAAGAGAACCATTCTCCCAGTGGAGGCCTCAGCCGTCGTTCGCTGGCACCGGGCGTGGTTTGAACCCCGAGCAAGAAGTTTCTCTACATCCTGCGTTCGAGTATATCATATTTTATTATTGTTCCTGTTTTCTTGTGCGCTTTCTCCGAGTGATTCTTTGCATCAGGGGCTTCACATGCTACCAAAAGGTCTGACCAGTGTAGCTTGGCTGGACAATTGCTTTACACACCCCAGCAGTTTCTCCACAGTCTCCTAGCCAGCACCGGGGCGGCTCTCTGAGCTCGGGCTCCTCCGCGCAACCTCCCTTCCGCCAAGCCACATAGACCAGCATCAGTCCAACCATGGGGCCCACCGTCAAGGTCTGCCAGCGCGCCGGCGACAGATGACGATCGATCCGGACAGGGTTAGCGGGGTGTCCTGGCGTTGATCTGGTTGAGCTGGGAGGCATTGAAGAAGGTTTCCAGTCTCTTCGTGGTGGGAAAGCCCAACAGGAAAACCATGGAAGAACCCTCAAAAAGCAGCTTGGCACCCTCAGTGCATGCATATCATCCTGAAACATTGGCAAAAGGAACTTGCCAACCGCCCTACTTGCTTTTAAACATCACATGGGTAAAGAGGTCCGGCAGGTGCCCAACACTGAAAGCACCTCCCAAGCACCCAAGCTCCACCCCAAACAGCCGCCCCCCCGAAGAAAAAGCCGCCGCCGCACACCGTCGTCTGCTTGTCCGACCGCTTTCTTCCGAAGACATCGGCGCGATCGTCGCCGGCCTTCAACACTAAACTCACCAAAGGCTCCAAGAGGATGCTCGGGATCTGGCGGGGCGCGCACAGGTGCGGGCGGCGGGACGACGGTTCACTCGCTGGGTCCGCTCCAAGTCCGAGAAGTGTCTGGATCGGTCCTTCCGTTCTCGGTGCAACACATACAGACCCGAACTGAAGTCCAATTGAAGTCCAGTTCGATGATTTTTGGATGGACTGAAGTATAACAGAAAGACCATTCTTTTTACAGTCTTTGACTTCCAGGGTATCTTTAGGCATGTCGTAGTAACTATAGTATGTAATTATGATATGTATAGCATGATGTAGAATGGTGTGTTGAGGCTATCTTGAGGATTGGTACCTTATCATATACCTTATATTACCTTATCATTTGCTCTGACATGCTCTGATCATGGGCACTTGCTTTTGAAAGATGTCGGCTTGTCATTAGCCCCAGCGCCGCAAGTGGCCAGCTGTTTCCCGATCGCAGTTGGGATGAGACATGCCGTGAGTCAGACATCGAAGCACCGAAACGTCTAAGACGTTGGGACATATCTGGAGGTTTGTCCCCATAGGACCTTCCATATTCCTCATCCTCATCCTCATCCATCTTGGGGACCTGCCCCAACGCCGCTCCGCGACCGAGGCCCACCGGAACCACCAAACCACCACCGGCCTCGAACATGCAGTTGGTGGTCGCCAAGATGCAGCCTTCCGCCGTTTGGATCCTGACACCGCGCGACGGCGGAAACACACGAAGACGCCGAGGACGCGGAGCGTGGAACACCGCGCGAAAACGAAGACGAAGGCAGGGAGACAAGACCGGAAGATCCAGAAGGGAGACAAGGCGTGGAGACAACCGCTCGACCCCCATCCCTCAAAGCCTAGGATTTGAGGGTCCGGGTTCCGTCCCTTTGAGCCAAGGGACCGACCTGAGACGCACCGAAGAACCGACCGAGCTTGGCGGGACTGGTCTCAACCGTCGTGACGCCTGGAGACACGGCAGGCAGGACTGTTTGAGAAGATGGGTGGAAGTTCGGACCAATTCCACGGAAGAGCATGGTGGGGGTGCCCTGGCCCTTCTTCCCAGGCTGAATGTCTCGCAAGCAGACTCACCCTGTAGGGTGCAAGACAGCCAGCTGCATTGGCTGGATCAAACGCTGGTGGATCATTTTTGGACACCGAAGGACCTCTCAAACGCAAGGAGCTCAGTGACCTCTCAAAACACCCACCGAAGGCACCCGCGAGAGATGTGCGCCAAAGTGCAGCACAAGACCTGAGCGAGGGGAGGCATTGGTGCGGAATGCCATGTTCTGGAGCTGGATTACAGGCACCAATCGAAGATGCTTGGCTGTGAAGGATGGAAGAGAGAAACGATCCTGGACCCTTGAAGCATCTTGAAGCATCTTCAACTTGAACGACTCATCACAAACACATCCAATTAATAGTTCATCAACAAAGTAGGTGCGGTACCGTACTCTGGAAGGAACATCTATTCAATGTTGACACCTCTGGGTGCCCAGACCAGGGCCACGCACATGCCAGCGATGCCACTCAAGAAGCTGGTTTGAACCTCCGGTCACATGCGAATCTCGTCACGGCACGGAAAGGACGTGATTCAGCGCTGGTTGACACGACCAGTGGAAGAATCCATGGAAGAGGAACACCCAGCGGTTTGGTTTTGGTCATCGAGACCATGCCGTCCCACGTAACCATGATGGTTCCAGGGAGTGCAAACCTCTTCCACCCCGTTCGTTTGGAGTAGAAACCGCAACCAAATCTCCCGCCCCCCCCAAAAAAAAATGAAAAAGAGAGTCGCAAAAGGTTATTATCCACTGAGTGACATAGTGACTTGGGTATGATCTGGACAGGACCGCCAACTGTTGGATTCTCAACCGCCACACCTTCAAATAAGTCCAATATCAAACCTTCCCTCAACTGACCAGCTTGGCTGTTTCCCGCCCTCTGCCGTCGGAGTTTCGGCCGATCACTTCCTGGCGCCTCGGTGTTTCCGCCGATCACTTCTGACAAGCCTCCTGGCCACCGGCTGAGCCGTTCGGCTTTTGAGGCCCATCCGGCAGCAGTGAGAGCATGGAGATTGCTCAAACGAGCGCAGCATGAGCCAACATCTTTGTTCTGCTTCAATCGCTGAAGCAGGACACCTCCTCTTCCAGTAATATCATGTAATATCAATAAAAGCACGTCCATTCTATGAGAGGATGTTCTTCGGCATTCTAGGCCACTCAACCGACCCATGCTGCAACCACGCCATCTACTCCATTCACAAAAGCGTGAGACGGCCATGTCTCAGCTATGTGGCGACCGTTTGTCCCGCCTGATGTGAAGACCTTGAAGAGATGGAATAGCCCGAAGCAGGCCGGGACGATCATCATGAGCAGCAATGAGACCTGATCGAGGCGAGGCGTTGGCTCGGCGTAGCACTTAAAAGGGCATTGGCTTGGCGCACCTGGTTCTTATAGAGCTATACAATAAGGGTGTTTACCACAAAAGACTTGTTGGAGCAAGCGCTTCAAAGAGGGCTGTTCAAGAGTCGAGGTCGAATAGGAACTCGAATAGGAATGTGCACCCTCCCTCCAACATGTGCCCGTGAAACCTGAAGGTGCATTATAATTACATCCCTGCAAGTTGTATTTAGAACATCGTTCTTCCGGTCATGTCATCCACTTCGATGCTTGAGAGGTCCACCTTTCGGCTCAGGCCTGAAAGGTTTCGGCCCATGTGCCGGGGTGCCCGGACGTGTATCAGAAAGCCGGACAAGTATCGCAAGAAGAGCATGTAGAAGAAACTCGTGGCGAGCGCCTGGACGCGTTCAGAGCTTTCCGCGGTGCAGAAACCCAGTTGAACTGGCTGTGGTGAGGAACTGTCCTTTTTTGTAACATCCTGGGTCGGACACCGCCAAGCCTTCTTCTTTGAAAAGCCGGGCGTCACACGCGGCGATGGTCTGTGTGCGCGCGCTACAGTCTAGACGCCCCACAGTGCCCCGGAAGGTGCCATCTGTTCCAGCTCCGGCTCACGGCTTCCGATGTCCCGGAGATGTCTTCGAACTCCAGGCGCTTTTGCCACCACTTCCCATGCAAAGCAATGGACCAATGGACAGGTTAGTAACAGGTTTTGTGCCACCGACTGGAATCCCTGGAGCTATGAGTAGGGTTGGTGAAGTGAAGTCTCTGCCACTAGTCGATTGGCAGTGGGCTCTGGTAAAGCACTGAAACAAGCACTGAAACAACAAAAATCAACACCTCGAGCCTTCCACCACCCCAAACTGCAAGACTCCAAACTGCGGAGGGAGGTTCCACCGCCCCAAAGCCCGACTGCGAAGTCCATGGATGTCCCGTGCCATCCGTGGCTGCTCGGCTCCCCCACCACTCCAAAGGTGCTGAGGACGATCAGTTTGGCTCTCGCCAGGCTGTGTAACTGAGAGACCCGAAGGAGTCGGAAACAAGCGTACGAGGCCGAGGCGGCTGGCTGCGGTTCTACGGTTCTACTGGACGGTGGAGGTGTGAAGGTGGCTGGGATGTAGCACAGGACACGTCGTCAGGACTTAGCAAGGCCAATTCTTCGGTGAAAGGGTTGAGCTTGGAGAGGAAACAAGGAAACCAAAGCTTGAAGAC